TGCATTTGTTCAGTTACAAGTGTTTTTATTATTGAAAAATACATCTACGTTTACTGAGAGCAGGGCCACCTCTGTAACTTTGCCTGGGATGGGCTCTAGAAATGCACTGATCCAGTTTTTTTTAGTTCCGATACCAATTCTGATGCATCTTAGACTACGTTTACACTGAAACGAACCACCGCATCACCGTATCAGAAATGATTTACATCCAGACACGTTGTTTCTGTGTCCAGAATCCTTCCCTGTCCACACAACTTTGAGCATATTTGTTTATGATTTACAGAAACAAAACTTAAAACCACACGACTCATTTGCATAAACTAAGCGCTCAAAAAACAGCTCACTATTGTGCGTTGACACAGTTCAGCTTCTGTCGGACTAAAGGACACGACTCAGTGGAATATGAGTGTTCTTTCTGTGACAGAGGGGTGTTCTGCTGATGGTGAGTCTGTTCTGTGTTTCTGTCGTGTTGGAGATGGTTCATGTGAAACTTTTCAGAGATTATACGTCTGCAGGTCGTACACACAGACACACGTTTATATGAATGGACATATATTCTTTTGGCGGTAAATTACTTCGCGGCGCACAGACCTACATCAGAGTATCAGTGTTTTCAGGCGTCCACACAGTGCTGGATCAGATCTGTACTCAGATAAATTCGTGGGAGCTGGAGACACCAGATCGTTCCACCTCTGGAGCCGTTTTCAATCGGATTAGTGTGAACAAACACTGCATCCACAACCAAAACCACTCCAATACACAGTAATGTGGACGGGGTCTTAGTATCTACCAATACATGATGGTATACGCGACTAAAAACTGGATTTATTTTCTTAAAATAAAATAAGGCAAAATAGAGCCATATGTGTTATGTATCTGTTATTAATCCCTCAAGTAACTACAAAACGGCCGGTAAAGAGTCTTTTTTCATCAGTTTATGAGTCCAAACAGGATATGGACTGCAATAATATTTGGAATCCATTATTATTTTTCATTTTTCAGTGGAATCAGTTAGGGGTGGGCGATATCTCGATATTTTAAATATATCGATATAGTTTTTAAAACTCGATATGAATTCTGACATATCGTATATATCGATATAATGCTTATATTCAATTTTGATTTTGCCGCTTCGCTTGTTTGTCTTCTCTGTCGCCTCCGTGTGCCCCCGCCTCCCTGATTTTGTTCGCTCGTGTCTCCTTCACTCGTCAGTATCGCCGTGAACGCCGAAAGTTGGTGCCAGTGAAAAGTTTCAAGCATCACGAACCTTTTCCACCATTTACAGACAAAACCATCAGCAGCACATCCTCATATTCCACCGAGTCACGTCCTTTAGCCCGAAAGAGCCATGCGCTTTTTAAGTTTCATTTCTGTAAAATGTAAACAAGTCTGCGCAAAGCTGCAAAAAAAACCAAAAAAAAAACAAAACACATTATTATCTCAAACAGGCTGATGTGGCTTAGTCATGTAAATTCTGTTTATGCAGAAGATGTTAATGAATAATCTGCTGCAGTGTCACTTGTACAATAGAGTTTGGAATCGTTGGGTTTGATCTGCAGTGGATTGTGGGATTAAACCTCAGAGCTCCTGACGCTGGTGAGGAACATGGATCTGTTAAAATAAGGAACATCCTGAACTTCCTCTGCTAAAGGAGCTCATGGTTCTGGTTCTGGTCTGGATAACAGAGTTAATGCAAAGATGAGCTTGTGTTGAGTTGTTTTATTTATGAATGAAAAGAAGAAAATATGTATTATTTCTTTTATTTTACAGTTAAATTATTATTTATGTAATTAGGGTTTTTTGTCATCTGAAATGTTCCTATATGAACTGCCGACCTCTTACACTTCAATAAAAAAAAAAAAAAAAAAAGGACCTTGTGGAATTTGGCAGATTTGTTTTTGCAGTTTTCAGTTTTAGGGGGTTATTTTTTCCTGTACAGATATCGAGATATATATCGTATATCGAGATATAGCAAAACATATATAGATATATTTGATCCATATCGCCCAGGCCTAGGATCAGTGTTGATATCCGATTGGTGCATCCCTAACAGGCACCTGCTTTTTCTCTATGGACATAAGTTTAATGCCATACAGTGAAACATTCCAGGAAAAGTAATAACATCACCATGGAGACAGCACCTGTAAAGTTACATAATGCACCTTTAACAATGGTTGATTAGTTCATTTAGAGATAACTGGCATTTAGTCATGGAAATAAACAGGATTTGAACCTCATACCTGAAAATCCCAATATTGAATTCTTTGTTTAGAAAATTCAAATGATTCTTCCAAAATGTGGGTGTTTGATAATGATCATTGTTTTGACATAACACAGCGTTTGAAATGGCGCCATGTAATATTGTCCACTTGAGCCTGAGCTCCCTCATCTGTGATTTTCAGGCTTTTGTGTGTAATTTGAAGGTAATTGTGCAAACCTGCATAATTGAATTGGTATTTGGGTGCCACCGCTCCGCACCTGTCAATCACAGGACAGAGCACAGAGTCTCCTGGACCATCGGCGGGTCCCAGAGTGGCTCCAAATCTGATTGATTAAGGCATTATTCCGAGCGTTTGCCTTTGTGTGCCCGCTGCAGCAGATGGGAGTGAGCTAATTCACTTGATGACATTATGTTTGATGGACACAGTCAATCTCTCCAAAGTGAAGTTTTTAATTATCCCTCTCTGTCATATCAACAAGCCTTTCTCCTATGTGAGCTCCGTGTGTTATTCTTCCTCTACCATTGTAAGAGATGTTTGGAGAAATAATGAAAGTAAATGGCCCCAAGTGAATGTTTGTATTTTTGACTGTGTGCCTTTGCCTTTTACTGTCAGGTCTGTTACACCCACAGTCTCTTGTTTACTATCCACGTTTTGTCTTGTTTTGGGTCATTTCTTGTTTAGAACTAGGATGTTATTGAGTAGTTCTACTTTAAACATGGTTAGTTATTAGTTTAGACCTAGAATTGTCCTGGTTTAGATCTGCTGGTACTGGGAAGTGTTTTATATCTGTATTGTCCCTTCATCTGAGGCACGAGAGCTCAGAAAAAATCCTGTTTTCACCCACCCCCTATCCCTGCCCACTGCTCTGGATGTACAGGCAAAATGTATGCCTTATACCTGCTGTGGTGAAATGTCACAATGAAGAGCTGAAAGTCAATATATTATGATTTACAATAAACATAATACGTCTTCCTTAAGTGTCGAATAATGACTTATCAAACAGTGTAATGCAGTGTTTCCTGTGAGCAGTGTAGTATAATTATTTATTTTATAAATTATTTTAAGTTCATCTTTGATGAAAGAACAAAGAGCTAGTCTTAGCCCTGATCTTAGCACTAGTGTTAGTGTTAAGGAGTGGGCGTGTCCATGTGGGGCTGTACTTCTCTGTTGAAGGCTGGAGTGGGGCAGCACAAGTACATATATGGTGACAACATCTGAACCAATCTGTGACAGCTGTGGCATTTAAAAGAAGTGCCAGTGTGGGTAATGTCTGCAGTCTCTGCCTCATCACAGGCAGCACAGAGGCTGTGGGGAAGAGTTATATATGGATACAATAAAAGTGCTCTGGAGCTGAGCTCCAGCAGAGGTGCCAGGAATATACGAATATATCATTTTGTTTGTTTCCCATTACGCAGCAGACTAGTGTCTATCTCTCCTCTCACCTGAGGTACGAGTGTCCACCTCTGCCTCTGCTGACCACTCACATTCTCGTCTCTCAGGTCCACTGCATTTGGTCTCACACAGGTGGATGTCTTGTGGATTATGGAATATGTTTATAGTCATATACAAGTTTCTGATGTTACTGCTTTGTGCACAGACGTGGATTAAACCATGAACACACTGGGAGGGTGACTCACGACCTGCATTTCCCCCACACAAGTGACTGATGTGCTCCAAGAGCACAGAGCAGGACCCACAGGTCTGTACAGAGCAGTGTCATGTGACCTCTATGTTTCTTGAGCCGCTGTACAAAGCTGTACAAAGCTCTACTGACCACCGCTGCCAAGAGAGCAGCACATACAGACGTGTGTCTGCTCCGCTGTCACAGCCCCGAGCTTCAGTGAATGTGCTGATCCCTGTCAGAGTCCAGCTGCTCCACAGCGCCGCACAGTTTTCTAAAGTTCTGATGGTAGTTTACCTACAAGTGACTAACTTAATAAACTAACAAGGCGGCACAGTGGGAATAATTTGGTCATGAAATGAACTGGAGCTGATGACAGTAAAGCATGAGCATGTTACATGTTGTTTTTCAGTGGACTTGTTTGATATTTATTTTTACGATTCTGGCAACTCACTGAACACACCACACCTGCCCTCAGTCTGCTCCACTCCACCTGATGTCCAGGCACGGAACACTTCTTGTTTAGAACTTCCACAGCCTCACTTAAGCTAAGTGCCAAGATCGGGGGCAAGATCGGGCCCCAAGTGTTTACTATACTAAATGATCTAAAGCATGAATGTGAAACCTTTGTGGATTCATTTAACTGACTTATAACATTTTAGCCAAGAAAATAAACTCAGGTGAAGTACTGTTTTTCTCAATCTGGTTTTGTTTATTGCAATGAAAAACAGTTTTTTTCCCCATGAAAACGTTGTTTTTTTAGCTATACTTTTTCACAGTATGGCATAAAATAGATCCATCTCCATGGTGAATCTTTACCCAATGGAATGATGCAGGTGACGTTCCACCTCCAGACAGTCACACACTGTACCTGTACCTGAGCTGAAGTTCAGTCAATTGAAGGAAAATGTATTGCACTAAAATATATTGGGGCTGTTGAAAATATTGCTGTGCAAAGAGGTTTAAGCCTAAACTTTGGAATTCTTTTCAGTGGCAAATAAACTGAACTGGTGTCTGATACCAGCCCTGTCCCACTTTTCACTCACCTCCTCCACAATCGCTCGGTGCTGTCAGACGCCGCCCCACGCCTCGTTAGCCTCCTCTGTGTTGGGACATCTGTGTTGCTTTGCTCTCCGCACCTGTCGCTCCTGTCGCACCTGCCGTATCAGAGTGTTGTCCCAGTTTGATCAAAGAGGGGGGGAGGGCCCAGCGTCAGTCACCCTTCTGCGCAGACGCCTCCATGCTCCCCCTGACAGGAGCCAGTGACTGCTCTGATCTGTGAAGGGGGGGAGGAGGAGGAGGAGGAGGAGGAGGAGGAGGAGGAGAGGGCTAAACAACAAGAAAACTGTGATACTGGAAGAAGTTGTGGGGTTTAGAAGTGGTTAGGAGTTTTCTGCTGACAACAATAACAGAGTTTTCCCAGAGGAAGTTTGCGGTGGCTGTGCTGCTGACAGGTGCCCGAGAAGCAGCAGATGAAGGATGACTGAAATACAGAGAACACATTTCTAACAAACACAATACAGTTAACTGATAATAAAGGGTGAGTCATCTTATTGTGGTGTTGTGATTTCTATTTCCAAGGACTATTGCAGGCGACATACCTCCTCCACAAAGTTACACAGTGTTGCTTTAACCTTATTAGAGTTGAATCAAGTTCTAGTCAATCCTTGACTTTGAAAAGAATCACTGTATTTTTCATCATTGAAACCCTCTAAAAATATATACTAGTATATTACAGAAGGTTAGACAAACACAGGATGTAACATTTTCCTGGCTTACTGCAGCATAATCATTACAGGTTTTAACGACTTCAGTCTTACATTTTAACGACATCAGTTTCTCATTTTAATGTGAACATATTAAGCTCATATTGAATGCAATGACAGGGGGCAAGTCACTTTAAATGTTTAAAGTGACCTAGTCCTAGTGCACAATCTGCCCAGTGTGTAGCAGGGGAAGACTGAGGTAAGCTTCTGTTTAATGACAGGATGGTCATGGTGCTCAGACTTCACCAGCCTGTAGGCATATGTGACTGTAATCAGATGGAGGCCTGCATTTTAGAAGCACCAATGTGCCTGGAAATCCTGTTTCCCAAGAGTGTGTGCCTTCACCCACATGGAGATGTTTGTTCAGGCATCTGTCAGATTTGTTTTGATCATAAGAGCCATCACACCGAAAAGGACCTGTGCTTTGTCCAGACTCCAGCGATTGTTCAGTTAGCCATGCCACTTCTCCTCTAAACCCTGAGGCTGTGTCTGGGCGCTGTGGCCCTTTTGCTCCCTGGCACACTGTGTTCAGGTGTGCCTGGCACACACACCCTGTGGAGCCCCTGTCCCCACAGGACAGAGCAGAACAGCCCAAACTGCTCCAACTAAACATATCAGAAATATGCTGCTTTTATGCTCAAGTGAAGTAAAATATGCACATGTGTCTCGAGCCAACGGATCTCCATATCAGTGCAGGATCTCTGTGAGGGTGCAGGTTTTGGGTCTCCATGTAGGTGTTCTCCATGTAGGTGTTCTCCATGTAGGTGTTCTCCATGTAGGTGTTCTCCATGTAGGTGTTCTCCATGTAGGTGTAGGTTGTGCGTCTCCATTCAGGCACAGGCTCACGTGCTCTTTGGTGGCACGAGCAAAGATGCCGTGAGGGAAAGTGGCAGTCAACTGCAGCTCTTGATTCACACAGCAAATTATTGGACGTTTTGGAACAAGTGAGAATGACGATGAAAATATGTTGTCGTTTTAACTTAATTCTTTCTTGTTATAATGAAAAATCCATAAAAACGGTTTTACATAAAAGTGTACAGTTTGGTTTGGTTCTCAAGCCAATGATTTGATTAGAAGGCAGAATTAGCTCCTTATTTTGGGTTGCCAAGACCCTGTCAGCTAAAAAACAGTTTGCAGTGAGTTCAGAAGGGTTTTCTGTGTTATGATGTTTTCTCTGTATATGACAACTACTAGTATCCCAAGCTCGAACCATTGTCATAGCAGTAGGAGCACAAGTTAACCGTGAACATAACTGCTAAGTGATAGATTTAAAAGATCAAAATCTGACACAAATAAAGCCTTTTTTGTTAACATCACATTGCCTAAAGCAGAATCTCCATAAATGATTGAGCAGCCGTGTCTTTGCCCAGCTCTGTCTGCTGTTAATGACTCTAAATTATCCCCAGTCAGAGCAGCCTGAATGAGATAGTTAGAGAGATGCACCAAAGGCATGCTGGGAAATGAAGCAGCCTAATCTGGTTTGAGACTAAACACACATGCAGAGATACAGTAACACGCACCATTGATTCTGTGTTTGGGTAATAAAGCTGCACTGTGGAACATTATGCAAAGCCCTGCAGGTAAATTAATGAGGAGCAGATTTCTGTAAAAGTGGGGTCTTATATTTACAGAGAGCAGAGAGTCATTGAGACACTGAAGAGGCAAAAGAGCACGAAACTCAACAATCAGATGTCATAATATTAGATCACTGGTTCTGTGTTTTCCATGTTTTTCTTACACATGGGTCCGGTCAAGTGGTAACGGAGGGAAACAGGGGCAGATTTTTGACATTCAAATGTCTCTTATTCAGAAACTAGAGGGACTATTGACATTAGTAAATGATCAAAATGTAGGAAAGAGTTACACTCCAACAGGGTCAAGTTAAACCTGTGATATTCTTTCAAGTTGTTGATCAAAAATTTAAAAACTCATGTCGGTAACAGAGGGAATGAAATATGCAGCACTGTGATAACTCTTGGTTCTCACTTCCATATCCTTAACAAACTGGTTTGAATATTTGCTTCATATAGTTTTCTACCATATGGTACAAGATTAGGTTGAAAAACCTCTTACTTTTTGACTCATGAGATTTTTTTATGAAGAAAGGTCATGGTAACGGAGGGAAAAGTAACGGAGGGAAAATTGTGCAAACAAGTAGAAGGTGCAGGATTTTACATCATTTGTCACTTTTTTCTTCTGAATACTTTAATATTACTTCAAAATGAAAGGAAACTATTTCTATAAAATATGTCAGTCCTTCCAAGCAAATTTGTATCATTTTAAATAAACTTTTTTTGAAAAATCCTGTACCTTCATCAACAGTTCAAAGATGGAATAACACAAGATATGATGAAATCCATTTATTTACATGATTTACAGATCTTTAAAATTTGGAAAATAATTTTTGTTCCATGTTTCATACATGGTCTGATTTAAAACATATGGAACTTTAGAACCAAAAATGGTACAGAAAAAAGGTCAACAGTTTCATAAACTAGAGTACATATGTATCTGTTCAATACATTTTTATATCAGATGTATTAACTTGAATTTTTGGCCTTGTTGTTTACTTCTGCTTGACCGGGACCATATACTACTCTAGTCTCTAACTCTGGTCTGGATGTTTCAGGAGCGGACGATGCACCGCGTGGTCCCCAGTGAGCCCTGTCCAGAACTCAGCTGTCCAGAGTCCGAGCAGATCGCCCTGAGTGACCGCTGCTGCAAAGTCTGCCGAGGTAAGGGTCAATATCAAACAGAGATTAGACTACAATACCTGTGTCGTGTGTTATCAATGCTTTTTCAACTCTTTTTGACAACTTTTAGCTTTGACAGTGTGATTTCAGAGGCTCCTTAAAGCACTTAACTAATTATTTAATTCCATTTTTGACTAGTGCATACTGTTGTTGTGTCCTTGGGCGATACACTTTACTTCACCCAGCTTTCCAGACCAGCAGCACTGTATACAATACCTGGGAATATGTTTTATGTAACTGTGCATAACTTTCCAACCATAAAAGATAGAAACTTACTTTTTTCCCTAAAAAAGATGGGATTTGTGGCTAATTGAGCAGATTTCTGGCATTATCCTATGTCAGGGGTGTCCAAACTTTTTTCATCAAGGGCCACATTTTTAAACACAGACAAAGCAGAGGGCCGATCGAGGACCATAGATTGGTGCTCAGTACAATGAATAACTAAAATATGTGCATGCATAACATGTTAGAAAGAGCCATCAGTCTGTATTCATGCTAAGATCCTTAAAACCACACTCTAAATATTCAATACCAGCTCTATCAAGGTCGATTCTCAAAAAAATAACTTGCAGTAAAAAGTTCATTTTTAATTGATGCAAGGAAATTTGTGCCAATTCACCTGGAATTCTGAGGGCCAAGAAAAACTTGTCTGAGGGCCGCATTTGGCCCACGGGCCATAGTTTGAACATGCCCGTCCTATGTCATACGTTGCATGATGATGTTGGGAAAAGGAGCGTCCAATAGGAACTTTGTTTCCTGACAAACTCATGCGCTCCGTCCGTTTTGATTGGGCCAAACTTTGCCAAAGAGCAGGGGTGTCAAACTCAAATTCACAGAGGCCAAAAAAAACTGGGGCTAAATCGTGGGCCAAACTAAACATTTATATAAAAAAACAACAACATCTGCATGTTTTCTCTTCTTTTGAGATATGTAATGTTAAACCTTTTCTTATTAAAATAAATGTTTAATAATAGTTTTGCTTAAACATTGAATCCAGAACAAACAAAATATAAAATAATAACATTTTAAATAAATAAAGGCCCAAGCCAGCTCTAATACATGTTTGATATAATCTTGTGGGCCGAAATTTGGCCCCCAAGTCTGAGTTTGACATGTCTGGTGTAGTGAGTCAAAATGGTCGATGCTCTGAGTGTCTGTGTTTGTAACAATTGAAAAAGTCGCTCTAAGTGCACTTATTTCTCAAATAAATGGAAAATTACACATCTTGGTTTGTGTAATTGTGCATCCCTTGCAATTTTTATCTTCAGATTTATTTCAGTCTAAATGTACAAATCCAAATGTAATAAACCTCATGGAAATGCAGGAAGTGATGTGGCTCTGTGTCCTGGACCTGACACCAGGAAAAGTCATGGGGCCATTGCACTTTTTTCTCTTTTTTTTTTTTTTTTTTCTGAGGGCAATACAGATATTTTGAGTTTGCTTATAGACTTGATATTTTTGTGGGGGTTTTTTTCCAGCTGTATTTCTGGTCCTGTGGCTTTCATTACAAACATGTGACACAACTACAGCAGCAGATTGTGAAATAACAGGTTGTACTGACAAAAGGATGTATTAGGGGGTAAAATTTGGAGTTTTAATAGCAACAATTAAGAATAAATCCCGACGAGAACAAATGGACAAAAATTGGTCTAAATTGGTAATTACTAAACTTCGGTCTGGAAGTGTTAACTGTGTTTGGCCCAGATTGGCAGCCTCGCTTAGTCAACCTCAGGTCAGATCTGGATACACAAGTCTCTTATAATCTGGCGAGAGCAAACTAAATAATGCAAATAATGTAGGTGATCCAGATCCATACGTGAGATGTGTGTGTGTGTGCGTGTGTGCGTGTGTGTGTGTGTGTGTGTGTGTGCGTGTGTGCGTGTGTGCGTGTGCGTGCGCGTGTGTGTGTGTGTGTGTGCGTGAGTTCAAAGCGAAGCAAAGTTGGCTAGAGTTAGTTTCGAGTGGGATGATTTTTATAAGATACAACAAGCTACTGTCATTTATAATGTTGATTTCATTTATTCATTAGTTTATTTAATCATGGACAGTGCACATTAATAAACATTTATGTAAATTCGCAGATATTAGATGTACAGTTTCTAAGGCAGGTGTAGGAATCCAGAAATGTCCAATCAACTTTATACACACGAAGCCTAAAACAAATCGATATACACGGCTCACAGTGTTGAGGAGTAACAGATTACATGTACCAGAGTTACGTAATCAGAGTACAAATTATGAGTAACTGTGTTCAGTTACATTTACTGTTTCAGTGAGTGGTAATTAGATTACAGTTACTTGGTTGAAATAAATGGATTATACGGCGGGATTTTCCTGTTTTCACATTTTGGACTTTTTTTTTGGTAATTCCACTCATTGCCGGACACTAAATCAGGACTAAACCAGGTCCAAACCAGGTCCAAACCGGGTCTAAACCGGGTCTTAAAGGTTGTATAGAGGATTTTCCAAGGAACGAGAAATCCAGCAACTGTTTGTCCTTTTTCAAATGTTGCGCATGCGTGAAACCCCCCCCCCTCCCCTACAGCTCCTACGTAGAAACGCCTTCTCCCGCCTCCTCACTACGCCAGAAGCAGGTTTGTTTACAGCCGATGCGCTGCACATGACTTGTAAAAGTGAGGAGCGGGGGGAGCGGGTGCGCGGACATTTCGTTCGCGGACGAGAAGTGAGGAGCAGGGAGAAGAGCGGAGCAGGGAGAGAGGAGAGGAGAGGGGAGCGGTGCGCGGAGATTCCGTGCCCGGAGAAGTGAGGAGCAGGGGGAAGAGCGGATCGGGCAGCGGGGACAGGAGCAGGAAAGGGGTGCAGAGAAGGTTGCGTGGAGATTCAGTGCGAATGAACTAGCTACAACACGCAGCAGCAAGCGGACTCTTTCTTTGCCTTGAAAATTACGTTTTCAGACATAGGATATCGCTTTCGTGTCCTGAAAAACGTTTGACTAGCTCTTGGAAATAAAGTACGTTTTCATAATAAGCAGAAGTGACCTGTCCAGGAGTAATTTGGCGACCAATGCGTCAGTCTTTAGACCCTGCGTCTGCTTCAGTCGCGCCATCGCTGGAATGAATCTTCAAGAATCACCTTAGTTTGGCTTCGCTGCTTTTCCCCTTGTCTTCTTCTTTCAGCGACCTCAAAAACGGACTTTCTTTTGCGGCTAACTGATCCTGGATTCTTGTCGCCATTGCAACAAACTTTGTGCGAACTGCGAGGAAGATATAGGTCAGAAAAAGCTGCTAAGAACTGTTGCGTTGGTGGAGTAAACAGCGTCTGTGCGTCTTGCGTCTGTGGACTGTGTGACAGTCGTACGTAAACCACGTACCCGGCGGCGCAGGCAGGTCAGTTACGCTAGAAACGTAGGGAGTTTGATTGACAGCCTGTCAACTAACAGATAACGAGGCAGTGTCGTTATCTATTGGCAAATGTTTAGCCCCACCATGTCCAGAGTTGATGAATTTTTATTCTTTTTTTTGGTCATCATAATTACAAGGCCACTGCATCTGTATAATGCTATCATTGACAACTTGAAACAAAAAAAATCCTCCATACAACCTTTAAACCAGGTCTTAAACCAGGTCTAAACCAGGTCTAAAACCATGTCTAAACTAGGACTAAACATGGACTAAACCAGGACTAAAACAAGGTCTAAACCAGGTCTAAACCCAGGTCCAAACCAGGTCTAAAACCAGGTCTAAACTAGGACTAAACTAGGATTAAAACCAGGTCTAAACCAGGTCTAAAACCAGATCTAAAACCAGGTCTAAACTAGGACTAAAACCAGGTCTAAACCAGGTCTAAACCAGGTCTAAACTATGTCTCAAACAAGATTTAAATCAAGCTGCGCAGACGTGTCTCGTCTTCTATCAATAATATTTTTAATTTGTTTAAATAAAGTCTAGGCTTTTTATTTTCTTTTATCAGACAAAACATCTTATGCGAGGAAACGATTTCCTCGTCTTTGCTTCTCAACAGCAAAGCAAGTAATCCAAAGTATTCAGATTACGTTACTCACTTTAAGTAATTTAATGGATTCCGTTACAAACTACATTTTGGGGGATGTAATCTGTAATCTGTAGGGGGATACATTTTAAAAGTCACCTTCCCAACACTGACGGCTCATGAGCTGCAAACTCCAAATAAACCAGACTTTTCATCAAACCCGGTTAGTTTAGTTTAGTAAAGTGTCAGTGAAGTATTTGAAAGTGGGCGTGTGCATGAAAAGCACATGTCGCTCAGCTCAAACCCGTGTCTCTGTGTGTAAAATCAGTGAAACGGGGGTTAAGTAAAGATCAGCTGAAGCTCCGACTCCTGCTGCCTGTGGAGTGCTCTGAGCTCTGACTCTGCCGTAACCTTTAACTGCTCAGCATGACCTCTCCTCTCTTCTCTCTCCTCTCCACTTCCCTGTCATCTTTTCCTGCCCTCTTTCTCCATCTCTTCTCTCCTCTCTCCTCACCTCACTTCCTCCCTTCCTCTTTCATCTCTGTGCTCCCTTCTCTTTGTCTCCTCAGCTCCCATCTTCTTCTATATTCTCTTTTCCACTCTCTCCTCTCCTTCTCCTCCCTCTCATCTCTATTTCCCTTTCTCTTCCGTCTCTCTCCTCTCCGCCCTCAGCTTTCTGCTTGTGTCGTCCTTTTCCTTTCTTCTCTCCTCTGTTCCTCCCTCTTCTGCTCGCTTCATCCCGCTTCTTTCTCTCGTCCTCTCTCCTCCCTGTTGAAACTTTCTCACTCGGTCGCCCGTTGCTCCTCTGTCTCCTCTCATCTCTTCTTCTCTTTTTCGACCCGCTCTTCTTTCCTTTTTCCTTCTTTTTCCCTTAATTTCTGCTTATCTTTTCTTTTTTTTTCCACCTTCCTCCTTCTTCCTCTGTCTTTCTCTTCAGTATCGAAATCACAGACTGTATAAAAAAGTGGGTGTGAGGGAGTGTGACCTCACCCACAGTGTTCAGCTCCAGCAAAATGAAGCTCAGTGAGGCTAGTAAGAGCAAATTTGGGCCCCGTCCACATTACTGTGTATTGGAGTGGTTTTGGTTGTGGATGCAGTGTTCGTTCACACTAATCCGACTGAAAATGGATCCAGAGACGGAACGATCTGGTGCCTCCAGCTCCCACGAATTCATCTGAGTACAGATCTGATCCGGCACCGCGTGGACGCCTGAAAACACTGATACTCTGATGTAGTTCTGTACGCCGCGAAGTAATTCACCGCCAAAACACTAAGAGTCTAAAATATATGTCCATTCATATAAACGTGTGTCTGTGTGTACGACCTGCAGACGTATAATCTCTGAAAAGTTTCACATGAACCATCTCCAACACGACAGAAACACAGAACAGACTCACCCTCAGCAGAACACCCCTCTGTCACAGAAAGAACACTCATATTCCACTGAGTCCTGTCCTTTAGTTCGACAAAAGCTGAACCAAATCGGCACACAATAGAGAGCTGTTTTTTGAGCGCTCAGTTTATGCAAATGAGTCATGTGGTTTTAAGTTTTGTTGCTGTAAAACGTAAACTAATCTGCTCAAAGCTGTGTGGACAGGGAAGACGTACGGACACAGAAACTAAGGCTGCGTTCACACACTGCAGCCTGAAGTGACCCAAATCTGATTTTTTGACCTGTATCTGATCTTTTAATGACAGTCTGTATGACACAGATCCGATTTTTTCTAATGTGGCCCAGGAAACTTGGATATGTGCTCCTGAAACTGATACATATCTGATCTTTTGACATGTGACTTCAGTGTGAACGGCCAAAGTGCATTCATCCACCTACACGTTATCAACAAGACACAAACGTCACTATTCTGCGCTGAAGTAGGCGAAAATTGTTAATGAACTCTGTGTCACTGAAGTGAAGCACATCACCACTCACCACTCTTGGCTCCGTCTCCACATCCACACGTTCCTTTCAACGGACGTCGCTGCCGCTGCCCCACAAAACACCACGACCAAAAACCTCGTCCTTCTCCTTCTCAATCTCCTCCTTAAAACAAGTAAGTTGTTCATGTTCTGGCTCCGGTACGAGAGGAACTTTAAAATCTCCAGGTGCTCAATGCTGCGTCCATGTTTGGACGTCTTCCGTAAACACAGAGCACGCTCACTGCGGTTGACGTCATCATGTCTCCAGTGCACATGTGGGACACTTTCGGGCCGTTTACTGTTCACACTGGAGTCACAGACAAGTCACATTTAATTGAAAATGTGAACGACCTCACAAAAACATCGGATTTCACAAAAAAATTGGAATTGAGCGTTAAGCCCTGCAGTCTGAACGTAGCCAAAGTGACATGGTGATACGGTGAAACGGTGATTCGTTTCAGTGTAAAGTAGTCTTGGAGCTCCATATTTGGAATTCCGACTGTGAGTATCATAGTAACAAAAGAGCCAATCCAGACTGAGGCCCTTTCCCGCACCGCTGGTTTAACAGGGAGCGGGCGCTTAGCAACACTGTCAATCAAACCTGTTTGTTAACGGTAACACAGAGCGACCTCTGAGAAAGAAGACATCTGATTTGTCTGTTATTAATGTTTATATCTTGATTTAGGGACAACAGTCAAATAAAAAAACACCAGGATCACGTACAGCGGGTTAATACAAATATTTTAAGACTAAAATGAGGAGTCTGACAGCTGTCATTACAGAGAGAGGGGACACGTTTTTTCAATAAAAAGTGAATTGGAGCCAGAGTTGATGGAGCTGGAAGTGCGCCCATCCTCACTTCCTATTTGGAACACAGGGGCTAGAAGTTAATTATGTCAATGTACTAGTAAATATACATCTATCTATGATCTAAACTCCCTCTATCGCCCCCTGCAGGTCACAACTCCTTGTTTCTCTTCTCTCCTCTCGCTCCTCACACATTTTTTCTTCTACACTTTCTCTCCTCTCCTCTCCATCTCTTATTCTCTTCTTTGTTTAACCTTCCCCTCTTCTCTCCTTCTCTCCATCTCTTCTTCTCTTCCTTTCCTTCTGTTTTCTTTTCTTTTCTTTCTTCAGTCTTCGTCTCTTTCCTCCTCCTTCAATCTTCATCTCCCTCTTCTAAAGTTTCTACCTCTGTTTCCTCTGCTGGTGAATTATGCTCCTCCTCTCTTTCACTCTTCATCTCACTCTGTCTCTTCTTCGCTTCCTTTCCATCCCCTCTCTCCCCTCGCTTTCATCTTTTTCCTCTCTCTCTCTCCACTCTTTCCTCTTTATTCTCTCTTTCCTCTCTTTCCTCTAACTCCTCTCTTTCTTCTCCTTCGTCTCTCTCCTCTCTCTTCTCTTTCCTCTCTCTCCACTCTCTCCTCTCTTTCCTCTAACTCCTCTCTTTGCTCTCCTTTGTCTCTCTCCTCTCTCTTCTCTTTCCTCTCTCTCCACTCCTTCCGCTCTTTCCTCTCTCCTCTCTCTCCACTCCTTCCTCTCTCTTCTCTTTTCTCTCTCTCCTCTCTTTCTTCTCTTTCTCTCTCCCCACTCTTTCCTCTCTCTCCACTCTTTCCTGTTCTTCCTCTCTTGTCTCTCTTCTCTTTCCTCTCTCCCCACTCTTTCCTCTCTCTCCCACTCTTGTCTCTCTTCTCTTTCCTCTCTCCCCACTCTTTCCTCTGTGTCCTCTCTCTCCTCTTTCTTCTCTTTCCTCTCTCTCTCCTCTTTCTTCTCTTTCCTCTCTCTCCACTCTTTCCTCTTCTTCCTCTCTCGTCTCTCTTCTCTTTCCTCTCTTCCCTGCCTTTCCTCTTCATCTCTCTTCTCCTCCTCCTCAGTATCTGACCGTCTCTCTCTCCTCTCTCTTCTCTTTCTTCTCTTTCCTCTCTCTCCACTCCTTCCGTTCGTTCCTCTCTCTCCTTTCTGCCCTCTCTTTCTCCTCTCTTTCCTCTCTTTCTTCTCTTTCCTCTCTGTCCTCTCTCCTTTCTTTCCTCTTCTTCCACTCTCGTCTCTCTCCTCTTTTCTCTCTTCCCTGTCTTTCCTCTTCATCTCTCTCCTCCTCCTCCTCAGTATGTGACCGTCTCTCTCTCTCTCTGTCTTGTTCCGTGGCTCCTGCAGGTCATGACTTCTGTTCTGAGGGCCATGGTTGTGTGGAGCACTCGGACTGCGTGAACCTGGAGGCTGGAGACTGCTGCGTTTGCAAAGACGGTTTCAGACCCCTGAGGGACGACAACGCCTACTGTGAAGGTACCTGCTCCGGCACCAAACCAACTCCCCAACTCCAGCGCCGCTCGCTCATTTACCGAGCAACCAAGCTGATTATACACGTCTGCGATCCCGCTCGACTCACACATCCAACTAAACTAACACGAAACTACCACTAAACTACCACTAAACTACAACTAAACTACCACTAAACTACAACTAAACTACCACTAAACTACCACTAAACTACGACTAAACTACCACTAAACTACAACTAAACTACAACGAAACTACCACGAAACTACCACTAAACTACGACTAAACTACCACTAAACTACCTAAACTACCACTAAACTACCACTAAACTACGACTAAACTACCACTAAACTACGACTAAACTACCACTAAACTACAACTAAACTACGACTAAACTACCACTAAACTATGACTAAACTACGACTAAACTATGACTAAACTACGACTAAACTACGACTAAACTACGACTAAACTACCACTAAACTACCACTAAACTACCACTAAACTATGACTAAACTATGACTAAACTACGACTAAACTACCACTAAACTATGACTAAACTACTAAACTACGACTAAACTATGACTAAACTACGACTAAACTACCACTAAACTACGACTAAACTATGACTAAACTACCACTAAACTACAACTAAACTACCACTAAACTACGACTAAACTACGACTAAACTACAACTAAACTACTAAACTACCACTAAACTACGACTAAACTATGACTAAAACTATGACTAAACTACGACTAAACTACGACTGAACTACGACTAAACTACCACTAAACTACGACTAAAACTACGACTAAACTACCACTAAACTACGACTAAACTACCACTAACTACCACTAACTACAACTAAAACTACGACTAAACTATGACTAAACTACGACTAAACTACGACTAAACTACCAAAACTAAACTATGACTAAACTATGACTAAACTACCACTAAACTACAACTAAACTATGACTAAACTACGACTGAACTACAACTAAACTATGACTAAACTACGACTAAACTACCACTAAACTAACAACTAAACTAACTGACTAACTACAACTAAACTACCACTAAACTACAACTAAACTACCACTAAACTACGACTAAACTACCACTAAACTACGATTAAACTACGACTAAACTACGACTAAACTACGACTGAACTGAACTGAACCGCTCAAGGAACCAGGACTAGACCAGGACTAAACCAGGACTAGACCAGGACTAACCAGGACTAAACCAGGACTAAACCAGGACTAGACCAGGACTAAACCAGGACTAAACCAGGACAGAGGTGGGACTTGCAGAGGTGGGACTTGGGGTCATTATTTTTAGGACTTGAGACTTGACTTGATAAAACAGACAAAAACTTGGGACTCGACTTGAACTTGAAGGTCAATGACTTGGGACTTGATTCGACTTGAGGCCGAGAAAATATTTTTCTGTTTAGTGTTGATACAATTTTTACGGGAATTTTTACAGGAACAAACTGGAACATGTCCCTCCCATTCTGTTTGGTACTTTAGATGGAACTGAAGTACTGTGATACTCAAATGTACTACAGTAATACACAGTGTTGGGGAGTAACAGATTACATGTACCGGCATTACGTAATCAGAGTAGAAACTATGAGTAACTGTATTCAGTTACAGTTACTGTTTCAGTGAGTGGTAATTGGATTACAGTTACTTTGTTGAAATAAATGGATTACACGGCGGGATTTTCCTGTTTTCACATTTTGGGCTAAACCAGGACTAAACCATATGACACTTAACAGTACGTGGACATAATTTAAGGTGATCTCATGTAAAAAGAATTTCTCTATCAATAATAGTTTTAATCTGGTTAAATAAAGTCTGGGCTTTTTATTTTCTTTTAGCAGATAAAACATCTTATGTTCAGATCCTCGGCTTTATTTCTCTACAGTAAAACAAAAGTGTGTTCAAGGAGACTTGGGCTCAACAGACAATTTGAAGAGAACAAACAAGAATTTTCAGGATGTGGTTGGTACATTCATGTAGTTTTAAAAACTATGACAATATCAAGTAATCCAAAGTATTCAGATTACGTTACTCACTTTAAGTAATTTAATGGATTACGTTACAAACTACATTTTGGGGTATGTAATCTGTAATCTGTAGGGGAATACATTTTAAAAGTAATATTCCCAACACTGGTAATACAGTACAATACAGTAAAATACAGTACAACTACAGAGAAGAGGCTGAGGTTAAACTGCCCCAACAGAGAACTACATGACACAATAACTGTTATTTAGCACTTTTAAATCTGAATTCTTTCTGTTCTGACTGTAATGATTCACACACAGATCTTGTCAAGACTTTTAAAAAGGAAAAAACTGCATTTCTACAACTCCTATATAAATACTCCTATATAAATATACCATGATTTTTTAAAGTACAATTTAGTTTAAAATTTCGTCAGTCTGATCTGTAAATTGTCTTTGTGACATATGTCTGTGAAAAGTGCTATATAAATAAAGACTTACTTATTTAAAATTCATATAAACTGCAAAAATCAAAACTATATTTGGTACTTTGGTTTTAAGTCTTGAAATGACTTGAAGCTCAAAGCAGACGACTTGGACTTGACTTGGACTTATGCACCAGTGACTCGAGACTCGACTTGGACTTGTCTTTATTTGACTTGAGGTCAAAGACTTGAGACTTACTTGAGACTTGCAAAACAACGACTTGTAACAATTCACCTGTTCTCGACAAACGAAAAGCTACAACGCAAAATGTAGGACGCGGGAGGATCCATTCATGTCAGGGTGAAATAAAGACATGCAAAAAATAAGTGCTTTTGGCCTATCCAGCTTTTATTGGCATTGCCAGACACAAGCGAATACGGCCACATCCACAAATACCCTTAACCACCCCGCGCTCGAGCGCACCCAAGCGCACCCAGTCCCCAAAACCCAAACCCAAAACCCCAACCTCAGTGCAACAAAACAATAAAGAACAGTCTGTTGTAAGTCCACCACCCTTCACCATAACAGTCCCGAGCAACTGCCCCCCAAAAGTTCCCAAAGTTCTCCCCCCGCCGCGCGGCAGCGTGACGTGAGTCAATAAAGTCTGTGGTGCACTCACGCCACCCGCATTCCTGTTCCGATGCTCAGTCCAGCAGCTCCCGTGGCGAAATCAGATTCCCGCACGATTGGAAAACGCAATAATCCACAACACAGGCAGCGTTAATGTTCCGATAGCGTGGTTCCACGGCACCGACAGCTCCTGGCATGTGTCCAAGTTGGCGTGTGACATCACACCCTTTGCGCGTGTCCGCGTGTGCGTCCCTCTCCCCTTAAATCCCCATGCGTCCGGAGAGGGCGCAACAAACAGTCCGACATGGTCTAAATAATAGTGACACTTAAATGGAAAAGGACCAGACACAACAGAATATTATTAACAAACAAGCCTTTCACCCCAGCTGAGTGAAGAGAAATAGGTGAGGACCTAAGTGGTCTTTACAGACTTGGTCCCACTTCTGCTGGTCGGTATTTGATCCAACCAGGACCAAAGCAGGACATGTTGGACGTTACAGAGCAGTGTTTTCAAGATTTGGTGCCTGTACCGCTGGTTGTACACAGTTTACTTCTGGAAATACACCGCCTCTTTCCAGGAGCTAAATTAAACATACAAGAAGTGCAGTCTTGTAGGAAATCAAACTTCTGTGTTTGAGAGTTATGTCAGGTTTCCCTGGAGACGGCCTGAAAAGAGTCTTAAAGAGAGTCCAGGAGAGTTAAAGCAGTTCACAGACAGGTCTCTTTATTGACTCGAGCAGGTACAGGTCTCTGATTCAAGTTGATTACAGGATTCAGCCACACAGCACCTCTTCACGTCGCCCCCCCAGTTACAGCAGAGCAGGTCACTTTATACTGACCATCTTGTCAAATACTGACTGACTGTATAACTCGTTGCAGGAAATTCACAGTAATGTTGACCCAGACAGTGTTATTATGGGTTGGCATGTGTTAACTGGTGCAGACCCTCCCCTTTTCTGTCTCGTATGCATCCCAAAATCCAATACACCATGTCCCAGCCCCGTTGACACTTCAGAGTCCAGACATTGACTTCTTTTATAACACATAGGTGAACAACTTCTATATTGCATGGTGAATTAACATGATTAAAATGAAACATTAAAAACACAGAGAATAATTCTCACAGTGACCAGTTGAGGCTGCGTGTGTGACTGGGGCTTCAGATAGATTTAAAAACATACATTCACAGTCAACTTTGCAATACCTAATTTCCCAGTCCTTTTCTGCATGTATAGTTGACATGTCACAGTCAGAATCCTGCTATAGTGAGCACACAGAGTCCCATAGTCAGCCATACGGGAGCTGTAACAGTATTGTAACTGGAGGCACAGCAGTTAAACTAAATGTTGGTCTATAAACACTTGTCCCCTGTGGAGAGTCACCTCAAAGTCACAACAACAGAGAAGCACACTGCAGATGTTTAACTCACTTTATTTATTTATTAACAATAAAACCATCCAGCGAGCCCCCGCCTTTAGCCTTCACTAGAATTACAGCCGGTGAGAATATTTACATGTCCAAAAAACAAGATCACTACAAGAATCAGGTAACTATAATTAGATGTCATTTTATGTGCCCAACAGAAATGTGATCATCAAAAACACCCGGTGACATTTACACATTACCGTATGTTCCGGGCTATTAGACGCGCTCTAAAGCCTCTAACCCCATCAAAAAACGACTGTGCGGCCTGCAATCCTATACACGAATCCACTCGGGTGTCCCAGCACGACTTCAGTAAACTACAAAGCCGCACCACCCGCAGCGCACACAAACACACACGGAGCAGACAGCGACCACACAGCGAAAAACACCCACAGACACACTCATCACTCCACGCCGACGAGGAACGGAACGGAGGAACGAACCGAAAAAGCGAGTGCAATGTGCCACTTCTAGACACAACTGAACAACTGAGTCACTGTGAACACGCCGACAATCCGTTGGTCCCAGACACACCCTCCCTACACGCCACAAACTGAACAAAGCCCAGAGTCACCGTGAACGAACAAACAAACAAAACCACTCACCCATCACACTGTTGTGTTTCCTTTAAAGTCCAGTGTGGTTTATTTGTGAAAAAAGTTCAAAAATAGACCATTTAATGACAGTGCGTCTTATAATCCAGAGCGCCTAGTACAGTATAAGGCATAATTAGAATATAGGAAAGAGTTAACACTCCAACAGGGTCAAGTTAAACCTGTGATATTCTTTCAGGTTGTTGACAAAAATTTTTAAAACTCATGTCGGTAACGGAGGGAATGAAATATGCAGCACTTTTTGGGCAATAAATCCAAACAGTGATAACTCTTGGTTCTCACTTCCATATCCTTAACAAACTGGTTTGAATATTTGCTTCATATAGTTTTCTACCATATGGTACAAGATTAGGTTGAAAAACCTCTTACTTTTTGAGTCATGAGATTTTTTATTAAGAAAGGTCATGGTAACGGAGGGAAAAGTAACGGAGGGAAAATTGTGCAAACAAGTAGAAGGTGCAGGATTTTACATCATTTGTCGCTTTTTTTCTTCCGAATACTTTAATATTACTTCAAAATGAAAGGAAACTATTTCTATAAAATATGTCAGTCCTTCCAAGCAAATTTTTATCATTTTAAATACTTTTTTTTTTTTTTTTTTAAAATCATGTACCTTCATCAACAGTTCGAAAGATCGATGCATTAACTTGAATTTTTGGCCTTGCTGTTTACTTCTCCTTGACCGGGCCCATATGTGATGCGCCACTAATGGACTAACTGGTATATTAAGCTTTTCCCAAATCCCGTAGGAAGAAGGACAATAACGTCTTTCCCCTTGATAAAATTCACCAAACATTCTCTTTGTTCCGGCTTTAACTCCTCGATCTTGGGAATCGTTGCCAACACAGAATGTCTGGCTCTTCGCTGATTATTGGCTGGTGCCTGAACTCGCTCTTCCGGCGTTTTTACGAACTTCTAGTGTATTCTGATTCCTGACATAGTCGCTAGAGAGAAATGAAATTGAGTGGAGGCACTAGGTGGCGCCAGACTGGCTACACTGCTGCTGCTTATACAGAAATCCTTCTTTTATCAACACAGACATTCACATGGACAGTCTGGTGTAATAATAGATTTGTTTCGGGTGTTTTTGTGGAGTGGATAAAACTGTTTTTAGTGGCAGGATAATTATGGCCGTTGACACCAGTGACCTCTGCAAATACAAGGACTGGATGGAATATTTCCAAAAGTGTCTCCACACGTCTCCAACACTTCGGCTCAGTAGGAAATGAGGCCCTATGTCCAAAATTCCGGACTGTCCCTTTAAAAGAAAAGTATTAAAAGTATACTAAAACTGTATCAGCAGCAATGTCATTCTTTGTTTTTGTCATATTGGAGATATAAAGTGCATTCGGACAAACAGGCGTGTGATTGGCTGAATAGTGAAAGCGCTGACTCGTCTAATCCTGCTCTGATTGCTCACTGTCAGCCTCTTTGTTTGTGTCCACAGAATAATTACTTTGCACAATCCATTATTTACAGTCTATTGTCGGCCTCCTATTCACTCATCTGTTGTGTTTTTTGAGAGTTGGTGGTTTGATTCTCACTAGCAGCACATTGTTAATGATAAGAGCAAGACACTTAACCCTCGTTGGATGTATGATGCTGGTCGGAGAGGACACACAGACGCACAACGGCACGCACTTGTCTGCTTTGTAGCTGTTGTTATTGAATAAAACGTAATGTTACTGTGAGGGGCTCGCCTCTCCACAGATCTGACCTGTAACCTGGCTTGCTTGCCATACTGTTAATGCCATACTGTGGACGATTCTGAGTCAACTCTAACATTTTTTATGGGCACAAGCTGAAAAGTAGCTCCTTTTTACTCTTTATTCTTTTTACAAATGCTTTTCTATGTTTTGGAGTTGTAAAAAATGACCACAATTTAAAGGTGCAAATGTTCCACAGTGTGACATTAAACAGCTTGACTTAACATCAGAGGTGGAAAAAGTACAGACACATTTTGAATTAAGTAAAAGGATCTTTACTTTGCTTAATTCCTACTCAAGTAAAAGTAAAAGTAACCATCTAAAATATACTCAAGTAAAAGTAAAAGTAACCGTCTAAAAATCTACTCAAGTAAAAGTAAAAGTAACCATCTAAAAATCTACTCAAGTAAAGTAAAAGTAACCATCTAAAAATCTACTCAAGTAAAAGTAAAAGTAACCATCTAAAATCTACTCAAGTAAAAGTAAAAGTAACCATCTAAAAATCTACTCAAGTAAAAGTAAAAGTAACCATCTAAAAATCTACTCAAGTAAAAGTAAAAGTAACCATCTAAAATCTACTCAAGTAAAATAAAAGTAACCATCTAAAATCTACTCAAGTAAAATAAAAGTAACCATCTAAAAATCTACTCAAGTAAAAGTAAAAGTAACCATCTAAAATATACTCAAGTAAAAGTAAAAGTAACCGTCTAAAAATCAACTCAAGTAAAAGTAACATCTAAAAATCTACTCAAGTAAAAGTAAAAGTAACCATCTAAAAATCAACTCAAGTAAAAGTAACCATCTAAAAATCTACTCAAGTAAAAGTAACTATCTAAAATCTACTCAAGTAAAATAAAAGTAACCATCTAAAATCTACTCAAGCAAAAGTAAAAGTAACTATCTAAAAAATCAAAATAAAAGTAAAATTTACTCAAGTAAAAGTAAAAAGAAATACTTCATTTAAAATGTAATTTGAGTAAAAGCTACTTAGTTACTTTTGATTATTTGGTGTAAAAAAGGATGAGTCATAAATTTAATCCAGCACAAGTTGTTTTAATCAACTTTTAGCTGATGCAGACAAACTTTGTTCAGTGCAAACTTGACATTTTAAAGACCACTGAGCTCACAAACAGTTACCATTTTAAGACTTGCATTATTTTGCTATTCTCTATTTTACATTTGAACACAAATATCTGTCTGAGGTTTGGCCAAGGATTTCTTTTATGTTCCTCTCGAGAATTATTCAATGCACCTTCTTCTTGAATATCGTCCACGTCCACCTCGATCCAAGACATATGTATATATATATAATTTTATTTAACTTTGTGCAGATTTTTATTTTTTATTTTTCTCTATCTGATTTTACTCTGTAACGAGGATGGGTTCCAATGTAATGAAGTAAAATATTTTGGTGAAAATGTACTCAAGTAAAAGAGAGAAAATTACCTATTTAAAAAACTACTCAAAAATGATAAAATACTCAATAACAGTAATGTGAGTAAATGTAATTCACCCATTTCCGCCCTTGCTGAACATATATTCAATTACAGGTGGATTTATCGCTGAAAAATATGTAGAAAAACAACATTCTGACTGTGAGCGGGGTCGCCTCTCCACAGATCTGACCTGTAACTTGGCCTGGTTTGGTCTCTGTGAAGGTAGAAAGGTTTAATG